ATACTCTTAGTGACTTGCCCAAAGTCATACAGAAAGATAGGTATTGAACTATGATCTTATTAACCAGAAGACCATCCTACCTCTCTAGGCCAGCTGTGAGATTTCTGAATCATAGAATCATAGAATATCAGGGTTGGAAGGGACCCCAGAAGGTCATCTAGTCCAACCCCCTGCTCGAAGCAGGACCAATTCCCAGTTAAATCATCCCAGCCAGGGCTTTGTCAAGCCTGACCTTAAAAACCTCTAAGGAAGGAGATTCTACCACCTCCCTAAGTAATGCATTCCAGTGTTTCACCACCCTCTTAGTGAAAAAGTTTTTCCTAATATCCAATCTAAACCTCCCCCACTGCAACTTGAGACCATTACTCCTCGTTCTGTCATCTGCTACCATTGAGAACAGTCTAGAGCCATCCTCTTTGGAACCCCCTTTCAGGTAGTTGAAAGCAGCTATCAAATCCCCCCTCATTCTTCTCTTCTGCAGGCTAAACAATCCCAGCTCCCTCAGCCTCTCCTCATAAGTCATGTGTTCTAGACCCCTAATCATTTTTGTTGCCCTTCGCTGGACTCTCTCCAATTTATCCACATCCTTCTTGTAGTGTGGGGCCCAAAACTGGACACAGTACTCCAGATGAGGCCTCACCAATGTCGAATAGAGGGGAACGATCACATCCCTCGATCTGCTCACTATGCCCCTACTTATACTTATCATCTCACCCTTCTCCTGGATTAACCAGGAACCCAGTCTCCTAAGGGCTTGTTTATATGCAGATACTCAGGGTATGGCTTCACTACAGAGCCTATGCCGTCATGGTTATGTTGGCATAGCTGTGTGAACATAGACCCCTGGAGTAGACCAAGCCAACACAAACAGAAGGCATTTTTCTGTCAGTGTGGGAACACCAGCTCCCTGAGTTGTGTTAGCTCTGTTGACAGAAATCCTTTTTTGTTGACATAGCTTCATGTATCCTGGGCAGTTTGTCGACATATCTATGTCAGTCACAGGTGTGGTTTTTTTCACATCCCTAACCACATCGCTATGCCAATATACCCTTTAAGTATGGCTCAAGCCTCAGGAATATGAACCCAGATTAACTAAAAGTGTAAATTTTAAGTGGATTATTTAGTTATGAATAAGAGTGTGCACATGGGTTTAATGTGGTTTAACTAATTCACTTTAAATTCACAACTTTAGTTAATTCAGATTATTTTTTCTGAGCATCCTATGTAGACAAGCCCAATAGCAACTCTAGATCCAAACATGCTAGCTCAACTCATCTCTTACCAGTGTTGCCAACTCCCATGATTGTATTACGAACCTCACGATATTTGGTGTTTTCCACGAAGCCCTACTGGAGTAATGCGATTACATGAGCCTCTCAGCTTTCATTTATTAAAACGTACGTTTTAGCTCTGTTATCCTGAAAACGTGAACACCAAAAACCAGAAGGCAAATGAAGAAAGCCCAGCATGTATGATTTTTTGCAAAATCCCATGACTGCTTGGGGTTTATTTGTGATTTCTAAATGTTTGGGGTTAGCAGTTTCACACACCTCTCTTGTGCCAATTTTCTGTAAGTTCTACTCCTATGAGAATTAGAACACAGGACAGGTCTGCAACTCAGTGATTTCACTGTACATTTCTTTCTGTTGTAACCTCATTGGGCTGATGCCAGCAGAGTCCTGGACCTCTGTATTGGTGAGTGTTCTAAAATGGCACAAATTCCTAGAAGCAGACTCTAATCTCTGCATGCTGTTCTGCATGCAGTTAGCGCCTGCGGGCTGGGTCTGGTTCTCAGTCCCTGGAGCAGAGCCTCACGCCCTAGGCAGGAGCAAAAACGAAGGAGTTCACCTATCCACACAGCCTGCTCATTGGTGAGGTAAGGAGCTAGTTCACATATGGAGCCCAGTCCTTTTTGGTAGGCAACAGGACTGCAGAGTAAGTGAAAGTGCAGAGTCTCCTAGTGTATGTCTAGGGTACATGCTCTGGGAGTGTGAACGTTTGATGTAATACTGTAGGTTTCCTCCTCAAGCCCTCCAATCCCCTTGAGCTGCTAAGACATAGAGTGGGAGACCGAGAGCAAAAGCCACAACAATATTCATTAGCAAACACATTTGTTGTGGAATATGATCCTGTAAAATACCTGTAGCTTCTGAACTGTCCTGTTACAGTGAAGGAGAACACTTGTCCTTACACTTCTGCCCTTGCAACAAGCAAACTCATGTACCCCTGTACTTGCCGGTGAACTTTGGGAACACTTTTCAGTCTCTGAAACCCTATAATGTATTTGTTCAGCCCCAACCATAGGTGGCACCCAAAGCACCTTGCAAAGAGTAATTAATTTAGCTGCACAACTCCCTTTTGAAGTCTGTTGGCATTATTATCCCTGTTACACAAATGAGAGAAATGAAGCATGAGATTTTCAAAAGTGGCTGCCAATTTTAGGTGCCTGGGTTTGGGCCAGATGTTCAGAGGTGCTGAGTACTCACAATCTCGTTGGAACTTACTCGGAAAAGCAGGCCTATGTTGTCTCAAATTGAGGTGCCCAAAATCAGGGGTTGCTATTCAAAGCATTTTTACCCTGGGTACTTCCCTGAGACCAGACGGGAAGCCTGTAGGAGAGCCAGGAATAGAACGCGGGGGCCCTGACTACCAGCCCTAGCTGCATCACCATCCTTCCCTACCGTCAGCACCCCTCTCATTTCCTTGTGATCTGAAATATCATTGAGTCCCCCAGTAAGTGTAATACAGTAACCTCTCACTTAATGTTGTATTTATGTTCCTGAAAAATGCGACTTTAAGCTAAACAATGTTAAGTGAATCCAATTTCCCCATAAGAATTAACGTAAATAGCGGGGGGGTTAGGTTCCAGGGCAATTTTTTTCACAAGACAAAGGACTATATATATGTATATACACACACACACACACACACACAGTATAAGTTTTAAACAAACAATTTGATACTGGTACGCTGGGATGATGATTGTGAAGCTTGGTTGAGGTGGTGAAGTCAGAGGGTGGGATATTTCCCTGGGAATGCCTTACTGCTAAATGATGAACTAGCAATTGGTGAGCCCTCAAAGGTTAACTCGTTGTTAATGTGGCCTCACACTCTACAAGGCAGCACGAATGGAGGGAAGGGAGACAGCATGGCAGACAGAGACAGAGACACACACCGTGTGTGTGTGAGAGAGAAGCATATTGTTCCTTTAAGTATGCTGACCCCACTCTTAAGTACATTGTCTTTTTAAGCTAATCAGCAAGCTGAGATGGCAGCTGCTGCCAGGAAGCTCCCACTGTCCTGAGCCCTGTCGTGTGTCACCCCCCCCCCGCTCTATGGAAGATGGGGTAAGCGGGGTGCAGGGGGTGAGGGGGACACCCTGACATTAGTCCTCCCTCTTCCCCCCTGCCCCCCCCCCACAGCAAGCAGGAGGCTCCCGGGAGCAACTCCAAGGCAGAGGGCAGGAGCAGCACACACAGTGCGGGAAGGGACAGCTGAACCGCCGGCAATTGATAGCCTGCTGGGTGGCTACTGCACAGGGAACTTAGGGGAGTGGGGAGCTGATGGGGGGCTGCTGGCCCACCCTGGTTCCAAGCCCCCACCAGCTAGCTGCAATGGGCTGCTCTTCCTGGGAAAGCTGTGGACAAAGCAGGCGGCTGCCAAACGACACTATAAGGGAGCATTGCACAACTTTAAACGAGCATGTTCCCTAATTGGTCAGCAACGTAACACGAAGCAACATTAACCAGGACAACTTTAAATGAGGAAAAAGAAAAGGAGTACTTGTGGTACTAATAAATTAGATAAATTGGTTAGTCTCTAAGGTGCCACAAGTACTGCTTTTCTTTTTGCGAATACAGACTAACATGGCTGCTACTCTGAAACCTGTCTTTAAGTGAGGAGCAGTGTAATAATAGAGCTGTTTGTGAAATGAAAAACTAGCTCAACGAAAACAATGAACTTTTGAAGTATTGCCTTCCTTTTGAAGGGTTCAGAAGGGGGGGTGTCACTTTTTGTTTTTTCTTAAAAAAAAAAAAACGTTCCTACCAATTTTTATTGGAAGCTCTTCATTACGTTAAAAATTACAGTGAGGTTGGTTTTGATTTTTTCCCCCCCAAAAAATGTACAGGATGCATTATTTAAACAATGTCACTTTTCTCCCCCTCAAACAATTCAAAATTCCCACCACACGCTGACTACCGCAGATGTGCCAGTCTAAGCTTTAAATGTAAACCAGGCCTTCGTCTTTGTAGCCCAGCTCCTCAAACGCCGGCAGCTAACACCCGTTGATTTCTGCCTGAGGCAAAGAGCAAAGCAAGCAAAAGTGTGGGGTCTTCTCCTGGTGGACACCCAATATCCCATGAAAACATTTTAGGTCGGGGCTGGCCCTATCCTCTTCTCTGACACTGATAGTAGAGGTAGGAAAAAATACCCCTCCAAAGCTCCTTAACCCTTTCAAAAGCGTTTCTAGAACAGAGCGCGCTTCTGGCCTGATTTCCCTTCCCCTTTCTGATTGCTTAGGACCTGTTGTTTCTTGGGGCTTTGTAAATCATATGGTCCACTAACTTGTGGGTGCGGTTGTATGTGTGTGTCTCTCTCGCTCCCTCTCCCTTTTGCCCTCTGCTTTCTTGATCAGTTATTCTTAGTTATAAATACTCTGTGTAACTGGCGGGTATCAAGATCAGTCTAAGGTGATGAGCTGATTTCGTGTGGTGTCTGCAAAGGGTAATTTAAAAGGGCCTTAGCTCCATAATCATTAAATCAACAGACAGTGATTGGATTTCTATAGGCCCCTGAGTCCTCCCTCTGGAGAGACTGCTGTGAAACTTCTCAGAGTGCAAGTCCTACGACAGAAGGTGCAGCCAACTTTATTACTGTGGTTCTTGAGATGATCTGAAGCCAGGGAAGCCGGGGGTGGGGAAAGCAAAACAGAAACTGAGTTGATGGGAACTCGAACATCTCTGACTGTGTTTTTTTTTTCCCCTTTTGTGTGTCTGCAGACGGCAAGTGACTCTCTGTGATTGAAATGAGCATCAAGGTGCCTGTATCACCTGGGACCAAAGCCACAGGATGATCTTAATGGCCGCATTAATGAAATAATTTTAAGGAAAAAGCAGCCTTCTTTTATCTAGCTCCTGTAGTTCAAGTTTTACTCCCATACAGGAAACCGAATCTCAGACATTGATATTAATTACCTCTCAATCTTCCTGAATGGGGAAAGGAAATCATCATTATCAGTTTTGATTAAATGCTCAGTGGGAGAAATTAGCAGCTTCCAGGCGAGTTGAAGAGAGAGATCTGGGATCATTTTTAAAAGGGAAAGAAAAGGACAATCCAATTTTGCTGCTTTAAATCACTCCAGGGTAAAACGAAGCCTCTCCCCTTGCCAGTGAAGATAACTGAATTTCTTTGTTTGGCCTAAACATCTGATCATAGAAAAAGCCTGTGAACCTGTGACAACCTTTCTCTTTGCCTTACCACGGTCACTGAGTCACAGGCTGACAGCCAGGCTAAGGAACCCCAAAGGAAAGATGGTCGCCGTCAAGAAGAAAAATCTGAAAATGTTTACACTTGTCTTATTGTTTGTCATCACGATAACGTCGTTCTTGCTGAATTACACTAACAGTTCGGTGATGGTCACCTGGGATCCCAAGCAGATTGTCACGCAGTTAAAAAAACTAATGAAATACTCCCAGAGACCATGCAGCTGTAGTTCATGTGTTCCCGAGCTGGGACTTTCCTTCTGGTTCGACGAGAGGTTTAATCAGACTGTTCAACCTTTCCTGACCACTCGGAACACCTTCATTCCAGAGGAGAGCTACAAGTGGTGGCTGGTAAGTAGGGGTGCGTATGTGTGTGTAAAATTTGTAGTGTAATTATTGTTTGTATTTCTGTAATAATTAGAGACCTCAACTGGGCCTAGGCACTGTCTACTCGTGAGAGACAGTCCCTCCCGCAAAGAGTTTGCAGTCTAAATAGACAAGACAGTCAAAGGGTGGGAGGAAGTTAGTAATATTGTTCTCATTTTCCAGATAAAGAATTGAAGCACATAGTGAGTTATCCAGGGTGATAACCGTCTGTGGAAGAGCTCAGCATTGAACCCAGAGCTCTCAAACACCAGTCCTGTGTTTTAACCACAAAATTATTCCTCTTCTTCTCCCACCAAAAACGGCTAATTCAAAAGAGAAACTTCTTATACAATGGAATTAACCTGTGGAACTCATTGTCATGAGCTACTGAGTTTGAGAAAATAGCAGTATTTTTTTTTAAAAAATTAGAAATTCTGTCTGAATAAGAACTAGCACTGCTTTCTTTGATCGTATAATTACAGGATCTAAACTATCCACTTCATGACAGGTGCCATTTAGGAAGAAGCATCCCCTATGATTATTCCTCTGTGGCACGATAGCCTGATCCAGATCCCATTGAAATCAGTGAATGGATTCCAATTTGTGTCAGTGGAAATTGGATTGGGTCCTATTTGACCATAATGCAGTTTTTTGTACTTGCATTTGGAACACTTAGGCCCCGATTCAGCAAAGAAATTAAGCATGTGCTTTAAGTCTGTGAGTAATCTCATACCTATTCAGTACACACTAACGTTATTTAAGCATGTGCTTTAGAGCTTTGCTGACTCAGGGCCCGAGTATGTGGTGCTGTTTGGGCGAATGTGGTCTATGTTGTTAAACTGCAAAAGTATGTTTATCGGTTCCAGTGTGCTGGCAAAATTCCAGCGTGGGTGCTAATTACATTCTGTCTGCGTACAGAATATCCATTTTCCCCACAATTTCACTTGAACATAGAAATCGTCTACCCTTCCTGTCCTAAACTCTTATGTTGTCCATCCTGTGTGCAGTGGGGAGGCCCCTCCCACCAATACTTTATTTCAGACAGGGAGGATTCAGATTTGGGAGGGAGGTTTCAAACAGTTTGAGAGTGAGCTAATTAGCTACTGCAGTTAGCCAGCTTGATAGCCAATAGGAAATTCCCGTTGACTGTGAGAATTAATTGGCTATGGAGTAGAAATCCCTATTCTGAAATGAAGCCAGTCCCTTCCACTGTGCCTCATTCGTAGCCTCCAGCCCTGAAATATCTTTCAGCCAGCTCCTCAGATGTGTTTAGGTGTGTAACTCTTATTGAAATCAATGGGAGTTACGCTGCTTTCTGCCTTCCTGAGGCTTTATGTGTCACTATACCAGGGCGCTTGCTCTGGGTTCAGCCCACCCTACTTACTAAGGAATAGAATCATAGAAGATTAGGGTTGGAAGAGACCTCAGGAGATCATCTAGTCCAACCCCCTGCTCAAAGCAGGACCAATCCCAACTAAATCAACCCAGCCAGGGCTTTGTCAAACCGGGCCTTAAAAACTCTAAGGACAGAGATTCCACCACCTCCTTAGGTAACCCATTCCAGTGCTTCACCACCCTCCTAGTGAAATATTTTTTTCCGAATATCCAACCTAGACCTCCCCCACTGCAACTTGAGACCATTGCTCCTTGTTCTGTCATCTGCCACCACTGAGAACAGCCTACCTCCATCCTCTTTGGAACCCCCCCTTCAGGTAGTTGAAGGCTGCTATCAAATCTCCCCTCACTCTTCTCTTCTACAGACTAAATAACCCCAATTCCCTCAGCCTCTCCTTGTAAGTCATGTGCCCCAGCCCCCTAATCATTTTTGTTGCCCTCTGCTGGACTCTCTCCAATTTGTCCACATCCTTTCTGTGGTGGGGGGTCCAAAACTGGACACAATACACCAGATGTGGCCTCACCAGTGCTGAATAGAGGGGAATAATCACTTTCCTCAATCTGCTGGCAATGCTCCTAGTAATACAGCCCAATATGTCGTTAGTCTTCTTGGCAACAAGGGCACACTGTTGACTCATATCCAGCTTGTCATCCACTGTAATCTCCAGGTCCTTTTCTGCAGAACTGCCGTTAGCCAGTTGGTAGCCAGCTTTCTATCCACCTTATAGTCCATTCATCCAATCCATACTTTAACTTGATGGCAAGAATACTGTGGGAGACCATATCAAAAGCTTTTCTAAAGTCAAGATATATCCCGTCCACTGCTTTCCCCATATCCACAGAGCCAGTTATCATAGAAGGCAATCAGGTTGGTCAGGTATGACTTTCCCTTGGTGAATCCATGTTGAATGTTCCTGATCACCTTCCTCTCCTCCAGGGGCTTCAAAGGGAGGCGGACCTGAGCAGGGATCAGCTCACTCTCCTAGAAGGAGTAACAGGAAGCTGCCCAGGAGGGATTCCCAGGGATACTGGAGTGGAGTAGAGAGGCTGCTGGGGAGCAAGTAATCTCCAGTAGAGAAACCTGCAGCATAGGGAATGAGGCTACAGGCAGGAAAGGCCTGGGAGGCTACAGGCAGGAAAGGCCTGACTTTTTCCTGTAATTGTGATTGAAACAATAGCTGCTGAGGGGACTGTGGCTTGCTAGCAGTGGCTTAAACTTGCTTTCAGGGGAACAGTGACAGCAGAGGGGCTGAGGTGTAACTGTTTTGTTGGCAGTGTAGTGTAGACCTTATTTTGACCGCAGTGGAGCTATTGTTTATCTGTGGAACTATACCATATTCCTGTTAAACACAGATGAGGGCTTGATACTGGGCAAGACACAAAGACAGCCTTGGCCCCCAAAGAGCTTACAGTCTAAAGGCCTGATCCTGCCACCCTTACTCCCATGCATAATCATGTATTAGGCCTGTAAGGATTATTCATGGAAATAAATGTTGTAGGATCAGACTGTCCAGTAGCATGAAAATGACGACTGTTCTCAGAACATGTGAGCCAATATCTGAATGCCTCAGTTTCACCTGAGGCCTAGAGACAGGTGCAAAAGGGAGACGTCTTTTCCTGTTCTTGTCTCTGCGCATCACTTTCATACCCTTGCCCAGGTGATGCTCTCAACTACATCACTGTAAAAGGTGAGTCTCTCCAATACACCCATGAAAAATCAACAGCAGGATTTGGCCCAGTATCTAGAAATGTTCTTTACTCTTAGGTATAGACCCGGTCCTGCCCTTACTGAAGTCAATAGCAAAAGACCTGTTGTCAGGATTGGACCCTAAAAGAGTAAAAGTTGCATGTTGTAAATGATTGCTTGAGTTACACAGAATATAGGAAAAGGAGGACTTGTGGCATCTTAGAGACTAACAAATTTATTTGAGCATAAGCTTTCGTAAGCTACAGCTCACTTCATCAGATGCTGTAGCTCACGAAAGTTTATGCTCAAATAAATTTGTTAGTCTCTAAGGTGCCACAAGTACTCCTTTTCTTTTTGCAAATACAGACAAACACGGCTGCTACTCTGAAACCAGATATAGGCTTATCACCCGTTTCCCCATGCAGATGGCATGTCAAGAATTACCCCATTGGGTCTTTGTTTTAAAAAGTGTGGTGAACTTGAATATCCCATACCCCATTTTCCTTGCTTAGACCTCAGCAAGATGACCAAAATAATCCTTTTATATAAGGTGTGGCCCAGATTCTGCTCTCGGATCCAGCCCTGGACTCATTGTAACTCAGAGCAAAATTTGGCCCAACCCTCTGACATTGATCTTCTGAGCTATCGTTTGTGTTTTAGTTGTTTTTCTTTTTTAAGCTGAAGTGTTAGCCTCCTTGTGGTTAAAACGTGGCACAATATATTATATACATCCGATGAAGTGAGCTGTAGCTCACGAAAGCTTATGCTCAAATAAATTGGTTAGTCTCTAAGGTGCCACAAGTCTTCCTTTTCTTTTTACAATATATTGTGTGAGACAATGTTCTCTGTTTATCTCATTTTTGTTTTCCTCCTTCCTTAGCTGACTCACTTAGAATGTTATTTTCTCTGTGACACATACTGTGGCTACTTTTGCAGTATTTGGTCAGTTGAAATACAAGAAAGCAATAATGTAAGGTCAATGGGTTTAGACTGAAATATAATAATCTGGCACCCTAAAACCTACCTAGAAACTCAGTCACCGACCAATAAAAAGCTTATATTAACCTAGTGTTAGAGTTAGTATTTATTTAAAGTTTTCTTAGTGGGTGTTTGTTTGCTTGCTTGTCTTGTTTTTCTTTGTGTTTAAATGTCACTTAAGAGGTCAGACTCTGATCTCACTTATTCTGTTGTAAGTGCAGAGTAACTCCTCTGAAGTCAGTAAATTAAAACTGCTATAAGTAAAAATCACACTCCAACTCCCCCAGCTATCTTAACTAAAACACATCACTCATCCAACTACTATGAGAGCATGATTTTATCAGGAGTCTTGGGGTAGTTGGTGTTTTTCTTAATGCCACAGTTCCCAGGGTCATGTGATTGACTGAAACACTCGTCTTACATCTAAAATAAAAACTAAGTTTCTAACCCTCATGGTTGTAGAGAAAAGTTTGCAAATGTGAAAACTTACAGGCTTGAAAAACAGAAAGCAAAATAAAAAGACCTTTTCCCCAGTGTACTGGCTTTTTTTAATCTCGATATTTTTAAGGCCATCTAATGGTTGTTTGGGGACCTGACTCATGGTTTCTGAATGCTTGGACTGGAAATACTGCATAAATATGTATCTTTAGAAACCTTCTGGCAATCTGCCTCCTTTAAGCAGGGCCAAGATGGGTGAGGTAATACTTTTTATGGGATCAGCTTCTGCTGGTGAGAGAGACAAGCTATCAACTCCATGGAGGGGCAAACAGGTACAGTGTCCTCCTTTCAGTCTTGAGAACAAAACCCACCGGACATAATCCAAACCTCATTGAGACCAATAGAGAAAGACTTGTTATTTGTATTAAGATAGTGCCTTGCAGGCCAGTGGCCTCCTTGTACTAGGAATTACAAACACAGAGTGAGAGAGAGTCCCTGCCCTAAAGAGTTTACAGTCTGAAAAGACAAGACAGACTAAACCTGGGAGTGGAAGCAGAGAAACGGAGAGGTGAAGTGTCTTGCCCAAGGGTACACAGCAGTTCAGTGGCAGAGGCAGGAATGGTTGCCTTTCTAGTGCTCTATCCTTTAGAATATGCTGCATCCCAGGGAATTCAATGGATTCTGGATTAGACTCACTGTCAATATTTAAGAAATACAAATGAAGGAGGAAAATATTAACTTCTGCATTTCATGATTTGATTTTAAGTGTGGAGTTTGTTGCATCAACATAGGGTTTTGCATTAATTTCTTTTTTAAAATTACTTAACTGTTTGTAAAAACAAAGAGGGAGAAAAGAGTAAATTGAAAATGCAGGTGCAGTATTTAAAGCTTTGTGAGAATGTTTTGCACAGCTGTTAATTACATCACTATGTTAATTCTATAGAATTAACATAAACACTTATATAGCATTTTTCATGTATAAAACATTATACAAACATTAATCCTGGCAGCAGCCATATGAGGCAAATTCAGGATTATCTGTATTTTGCCAGTTGAGATGGAGAGAGTTTAAAGGGAAACCATCAATTTTAATAATGACTTTTCTGCATGAAAATGTGTAATTATTATTATCTGAAAGAGATTAAGAGAAACAACTAGTCAGGGCATTTTTGAGGGCCTTTTGTTTTGACAGTTCCATATATAGTCAGTTTCATGAAGCCCATATATTGTTGGTTTCCCTTTTCACATGTGTGGGTTACACAGCAACCGGAGAGAGGAAAAACATTAAAAACACTTTAAGAAAATGTAACTGTAAAACTGCAAAAATTGATTCAGAGCCAACTGCAGAATCAGAAACTACTTTTAGCTTGGCTAGATTTCAGGTTTACTGTCCCTTAGCATTTTGCCTAGGGCTACAGGGGATCAGTCAGGTTTAGAACACAACATTAATTGAATCCCACTTCTTCTTCAAAGCTGTTGATCCATACCTCTCACGATACGCTCTTTTGGAGATACAGGAAAAGCCCAGCTGTGGGACTATGGCATGAGAACTCAAAAATCTCAGTCCTAAAATTGTGCATGGATAAAAATGAATTTTAAAAATGAATTTTAATGGCTTATAATTTAGCTCATTAAAATAGATTTTTAAACAAACCAAGCAAATATTCTTCAGTAAGAAATGGCTGCACATAAAATTTTAACATTCACCCACTTTTGAGTTCAACTCTGCACCTTTTCTCTTAGCTCAAACAGCTGAATGTTGTTTGTGCTGACATTCCAAAACAATCAGCTTTGAGCTGAGATTAAGGAACAAAATTTAGTCCAAAAAGAGAATCGCTGAGAAAATTATAAGCAAGTGCAAACAGGACATTTACGGTGCACACTGGGGCAAGGACTGCCTTCTCTTTTATATGTGAATAGCGCACAGTTGAATGCAGTCCTGGTCCTCTTTAGGAACTCTGGGTGATTTTGTAATGTAAACAGTAATGACCTCTATTATAGTTTTTATTATAATATAAAGCTAAGGGGAAATTGAAAATTAAAGTCCTGGTTTTCCTGATACCACTCTTTAATTAAATCAGTTTCAATGGTGTTCCTTCAGATTTACATTGGTGTAACAGAAATCAGAGTTTGACCCCAGAACTATATAAACAGATAACCCTATCCATAGCAATGTGCAGTTTGGCTTTTGACTCTTCAAGCCCATAAAAAGGTAATTCTGCTTTGATCTACTGATGTATAGTTATGGCTGAGAAGGCAATTTTATTGAAAGCCTTAGTACTTTCTAAAAATTACCTCTTGGCCTGAATTTTCTCAGGTATGTAATCAGCTCAAGGATGACTTTTTCTGGAAAGATTTGTGTATTTAAAAAATTGGTTTTGTGAGGCCTAAGAATGTATTTGATTGTACACACATAAGACATTACTCTATGTGTTCAGGTAACTCAAAACAAGCTGCATCTGAGACGGTCAGACGGGTTGTGGCTATATGGCCTGATCCAAATCAAAGCCCACAGAACCAATGGATACTCTCAGTGATTAGACTGGGCTCTGGATCAGTCCCTCTGTCCTTAAAGGCTGTTGCTATGCTTGAAAAAACTTGCTTTGGAAATATATTTTGGATTGGTTGGCTGTTCATAAATGACTTACAGAGTTTAGATCTATATGAGCATATATTTGCCTCATCACATGTGACATTTTATAATAATAATAAAATACTTAGCACTTAAAGAATTGTGCTTCCCATTGGGAGCCTGAGGCACACAGACATGATAGTGATTTGCCCAAGATGCATGGCAAATTAGTGACACCACAAAGAATGGAATCCAGGGATGAAATCCTGATTCTACTGAAGTCAGTGGGAGCTTTAAAGTCCATTGACTTAAGTGAACCCAGGGTTTCAGTCCAAGTTCTTGACTATCAGCCTGTGCTCCAATTGCTTGACTGCACACCCTGGACTGGGCAGACACTGTACCAATGTTGACTGATTTGGCTCCTTTCATCCTTACTCTTGGATTATTTTTGCCATGCTTATCCAGATGTACGGCCATTAGTGGTTTGCATGGGCTTTTACACAGTGCCACTCCTGAGAAAGGAAGAAAAGCAAGAGAGTGAGTTGTGCGGTTTACATTTTTTACACTGAAATACTGCAGGGAATATTAGTGTAGCCAGAGAGAAAATATGTCCAGGTGAAAACACAGAACATGCCAGACTGGCTCAGACCAGTGGTCCAACTTAACCAGTATTGTATCTCTAACAGTGGTCAGTACCAGCTGCTGCAGAGGAAGGTATAAGAACACCAAATAATGGAATAACCTGCCCGCAGAGAAAGTTGCTTCCTGACCCCTCTTTATTTAGAGCTTGTCTGAGTGCCTGATGCATGAACATTTAGCTCCTTTCCAAAACACTTATTTTAATCTTTGCTGTAAGTGTGGAAATTCTAATTGTCCATATAAAAGTCTAATCTCTTTTGAGTACTCCTGCTAAGCTCTTAGCCTCAATGATATCTTGTGGCTGTAAGTTCCTCAGACCAGTTCTGTGTTGTGCAAAAAGGTATTTCCTCTTATCAGTTATGAATTTGCCACCTTCATTACTTTGTGTAGCTTTATCAGATCCCCTCTTTCTCTGCTCCTCTAAAGTAAACAGTCTCAGTGGAGATGCAAAAACCCTGTCTAGATTTTCATTTCAGAATGCTGTATGGACAGGGGAGTAAAATTTTGCCACGCATATTAAAGCAGCAAAGGTACATCTGTGTATAGGATAGTAGCACTCTAACAGATCTGAGGGAAGCGGACGGTAACGTGTCAGAATCTGAACTGTGAACTTAGGCCATATCCCCAGGGCTGTGTGCAGGGCAGATGGGCAGGGAGAGGACTCCTGTTTTCAGCAGGTGCTGCCCAGATGCAGAGGGAAGGTAGCTCTGCAGCTCCAGGATTCTGGGTTGCTCTGGGGTCTGCTCTCACTGATGGTGGCTTCCCCCTCCCCCAGCTACCAGCTGGCTCCTCCACAGCCCAGCATAGCTGGAGATAGTGCCCTGGAAAAGTGCTGTTCTGCCCTCGACACAGCATGAGAGGGCTGTCAAGGGGCTATCGCAGAGGTAGGATTAGGCTCTGGGAAACCAGAGGCATGTGTGTCCTACTGAATTCAGTGCTGGAGGCATGAACTGAAGGGGATGTGCCATTGTCACATGTCACACTGTTGGCAGATGGAGAGGAAAGGGGTGGGGAGGCAAGTGAAAAGAGGGGGAAATCAGGTTAAAACGTGTGTGGGATGGGAGGTATCATCACTTGATTCCCTCTCCCCCCCACCCAAACTGAGAACTGTTGCAGAACGTCTTGCAGGGAATGCCATCGGTGCTGTCAATGAGCACAGCCGAGCATCAGGAAGAAGTGAGCAACACCCCGCTTTGATAAAAGCCTTCTGTGTTCGTGACCCGAGTGACCCTGTTCTTCCCAACAGAAATTGCAAGGAGAGGGCAATCCTAAAAATATCAATGACACTATCAAGGAATTGTTTGAGATCATTCCTGGAGATGGGGAGCAGCTGCTGGAGAGAGACGTCTCCCGGTGCAGAAGGTGTGCCGTCGTGGGGAACTCCGGGAACCTTAGGCAATCTCAATACGGCCAAGATATCGATGCCCACGACTTCGTGCTCAGGTGAGTACAGAAGAGACTCAGGGATCCTGAACCTCCTGATTGACTCAGTTATTTAACATTTGCCAGCATTTGTAGGGCCAAATTCTGCATTGCTGTGCATCCTGTGAGTCCACAGGGCTGCAGGGTGATTCATGTCAGAGCAGAATCCAGTGCTTGGGTCCTGAGTTAAATCCCACTGAAGTAATTAGTAATACTTATAGAATAATAGAGTATCAGGGTTGGAAGGGACCTCAGAAGGTCATCTAGTCGAACCCTCTGCTCAAAGCAGGACCAATCCCCAACTAAATCATCCCAGCCAGGGCTTTGTCAAACCTGACCTTAAAAACCTCTAAGGAAGGAGATTCCACCACCTCCCTAGGTAATGCATTCCAGTGTTTCACCACCCTCCTAGTGAAAAAGTTTTTTCCTAATATCCAACCTAAACCTCCCCCACTGCAACTTGAGACCATTACTCCTCGTTCTGTCAACTGCTACCACTGAGAACAGTCTAGATCCATCCTCTTTGGAACCCCCTTTCAGGTAGTTGAAAGCAGCTATCAAATCCCCCCTCATTCTTCTCTTGAGCTGACTTTCATGTGAGTGGGACTGGACCCTTAGCAACTAGCACATTACTTCCCCCTCAAGATCAGAACTGGGAATTAGTGTCCCTCTCTGAACCAAACAGAGGAGCAAATCCTCCATTGATGCTGAACACCCTCAATTCCCAATGAAATCAATGGAGTTGAAAGTACTCTGCTCCTTGCAGGATCAGGCCCCCCAGCTGGTCAAATGCATCCTTAGCATCACTCCACTAGCATAACTGGGCTAGTTTGACCAGGGTGGAATTTGGCTCCACGAGTTAACTGTCCTAACATGGCATTATGCCTGCTTTAAATGATGCCAGGCGCCTCATAATTGTGTGTCCTATTCTTCATCTAAAAACCGGAGATTTTAAATAAATGTGATATTTGCTTTTACTGCAGATAGTTGGGCTCCCAACATGACTTTTACAAACTTAAACTGATATAAAAGGCCAAATTCTGCTAGCTTTTACTCTGGTGTACTCTGTACCCAGAAAGGGGGGGAGGGATAGCTCAGTGGTTTGAGCATTGGCCTGCTAAACCCAGGGTTGTGAGTTCAATCCTTGAGGGGGCCATTTAGGGATCTGGGGCAAAAATTGGGGATTGGTCCTGCTTTGAGCAGGGGGTTGGACTAGATGACCTCCTGAGGTCCCTTCCAACCCTGATATTCTATGATTTGCATAAAAAAATTCTCTATGAAATCACTTCACTCGCTACTGACATGCAGTGGAATGAAGTAGCTGTTCTACAGTCGACAGTAAAACCCCAGGTAGGACAGGAAGCAACTAGACAACACCAGTTGTGTTACAGTGGGCAGCATCACTAGTCCTCTAAAGTAGCAAATGATGACCATCGTGTCCAGCTGAAATTGCAGGGGTCATTTTAATGAGGCAGAATGGAACTTCCCCAATTGGAATTTAGCCTGGATATCTGGGTTGAATAACCTTATCTTTGCAGAACATGCAATGGGGGATTCAAATGCCACAGCAGTCAGAAGCTTTGTTTAAATCTCAACCAGCACAGTGAGTTCTCGCACTCTTCGGGGGCGCTGGTTCAGTACCAGCTCAGATAAAAGAAAAGATCTAGAGACTTTTTAAATTATTTGTAGATAATTTTGACCATGGTGTCAGAATTCATACAATGTAATTAACTAGCTTGGCCTTGAGACCACTGGGAAAGTGCTACTTTCAGGATGAAGAACACCAAGCACGAGCAGAGCCCAGCTCACCTTGAGAGTTCCCTTCCAATCAGAATGATTGATTCGGCCCTGTTCTATCCTTAGATATTCAAACAGCTCTTACTGCACACAATGGGGGCTCTACGAATGGCTGGCTGAGGCTGACAGTGGCAGTTCCTTTAGATTTTTCTTTGGTTTCAATCCCAGTGGGTTTGTGCTGTGACCCCGGAGTCTGGCTGTGTTCTGGGTTCAAATGAAGCCCCAGACTGCCATTGAAACTGCTAGACCCTCCGACAGATCTGATTCACTCAAGGCTCAAACCGCCCTTTCTCTGAGCCCAGGTTGGTTATGAAGTTTGTGAAACAGCCTAAAGCCAGCTGAGCTTTATCTTGCTCGGGGCTTATTTTGGTAACAGTAAAGGATCAGTGTGAAAGATGGAATGTCATGGTCAACATCCTCCATATCAGAGCTGTCATTTGTGTGTGTGAAGAGCTCAGTGGCATGCTCCATTGGTTAGCACATGTGACTGGGAGCTAGGGAACTTGGGTTTTAGTCCAAGCTCTGACATTTATTCACAGTGCAACTTTTGACATGTCCCTTAACCAATTTGAGCCTCAGTTTCCTCATCTGTAAAATTGAGATGAGAGTTGCCCTCCTCTTGGGAGTGTCGTGGGAGCCACTCAATCAATAGCTGATCCTTGTGCATCGGTTACAACAGCGTCCCTGAGAGCAGGTTTCACTGCTGTAACAGACCGTGAAACCTGCTCTCATGGACTGCAATCACACCTTCCGATTGCAGAGCAGATGTACCCTTAATGGAGATGAGGACCCTGCCTAGTAATTGTATTCTCCACACACCCCAGCAAGTAAGTTTGGGAAACAATTTTCCTCTTGATTTTTTTTCTCTCTCTCCTTTCTCGGTTGCAGAATGAATCGTGCTCCAACTGCCGGGTTTGAATCGGACGTTGGAAGCAAAACCACTCACCACTTTGTTTACCCCGAGAGCTTCCGAGACCTGGCAGAAAATGTCAGCATGATTGTGATCCCCTTCAAAACACTGGACCTGCGCTGGATTGTCAGCGCACTCACCACGGGCACAATAAACTTGTAAGTAAAGCTGAGGTCTACAGGTGCTCAAGTTGAATGGGGGACATAGCAGCTGTGTCATCATTGTGATGCTTCCTTGGGGTGCCCAGGAGTGTGAGTCGCCTTGTTACCCCCAGCCTCCAGTGTGAGGGAGTCCTGGTGGTAGCTGGGTATCATCTCCCTGACAATTCCAAGCCTTTTGTCACTCAAGAACTCTCCTCAGGGCTCTGCCAGCCCTTACTTTGCCTGGAAGGTTCTCACTTGGTGCACCCCAGTCCTGGAACACCTCAGAAGCATCCCTCTGTGGTATCCGGCCCCTGACACTGGACACTCACAGGAATTGCCAGGTTCACTGTTCCCGAGGGAACAGTATACGCACCAGCTTGTTTGAATCAATGGAGGATTCACACTTCCTGCTCCAGCCCTAAGAAGTATTTATAATAAAAACAAAAATACATTTATCAACAAAGATTCAAGTGAATGATGAGTAAGAATCTTGGAAGCAGAACTGGTTACATATATAAAACAAAACTTAAAACGCAGTTCTAGGTCTGCCCTTCCCAATGGTTATCTTTCCTTTTTCTAGAGTAGATTCTCTCCCAAGGATTCAGTCTTTGGCAGAGCTGCTGGTTGTCAGTCATAACCTGGATGCAGGTTTTCATGTATACCCCTACCCTTCAAAGGGTTTTCTCAGTAAATGGATAACACAGAGGTCCTTTGTCTTTTCTCTTATACTGCAAAGTTGTGTTTGCACCCCAGAGACAAGACAGCCACCTGTGGGTTTAGCCTCCAATGTCTTCCTGTGTTGACATCATATCCTTGTGTTGATTTGGAATGCCAATGTAGATCCCATTGTGTCTAGCTGATGGTGCTTAACTTTCAGATGAACTGAGACAGGTGAATAAACGTCCTACGTCTAACAGAGAACTTGTCTGCCAACTCTGCCTCTGAACATATCTTCAGCACGTGTACATAACTCCTTAAATATCACCCCTAAATACATTACCCAGTGTGATGTAAGCTTCGATTAGCCACCTTACACAGCCCTTTGTAGATAAATACTATGAAAGCAGTGTGTTAGATGTAGTGAGTTTGTCAGACCTGATAGTTTCTGTTACAGAACATTGAAACCTTTGCCGTTTGGCACTGAGGGGTTCTCAGGGTCACAATAGTGTGTTATCACAAAGTGTAACCACAGCACAAGAGAGACAAGACCAGAAGCGCAGCACTGAGTTAAATTCCACTTCTACCTGTGTATCAGAAGATTCCAGTTCTGCAAGCACACGCAGGAGCAGAATTTGGCTCTTCTGCATTTGTTTTCTTGTAACAGTTTGACTTTTGGGCACATTGTTTGGTGTGGGAGTTCAGAAAAGACTCCTCTTTGTCCCGCGCACAGCAAAACTGGAGAAATGGTAAAAAATGTTTGCTGCTGCTCTAAATCACCAGTGTCCTAGTCAGTTTCCACTTTGATTGTTGGCTTCTTGACCTGGTTCCTGGGACAATGACTCATTGTGGCTGCTCACCTCTCTTCTCTCAGGTGGAGTTTGGGAAGGAAATGAGTGGAACCTGTATTTTTTAACCTTCAGATACACGAGGCTTCTATTGGTCATAGCTGAAGATAGAACTAGCTGGTTGGAGGGACCTCCAGTGGGTCCTTCATTATCCATTCTTCCTGCTTGGAGCTGACAAGTGGCATCTGGCTCCTAATCCCATCTGCGAGGCTCATGTACGGTGTGATCCATCCTGCTAAGCACTTCTGCAATCATTATTATCCCCATTTTACAGATGAGGAAACTGAGGCATAGAGAGGCTTGGGGACTTTGTCAAGGTCACACAGCACATCAACACCAGAGGCAGAAAAAGAACCAAAGCTACCTGGTACCTAATGAGGCCATTTGGTCAAGTCATTTAATTGGTCTACCTCAGTTTTCCCTGTCTGTAACCAAGGACAGTGATCTCTTAAGTAGCCTACTTCCTCCACAGGAGTCTGGGGAAGATTAATTGGTTTAATGCTTGTAGAGTTTGGAATAGATTTGCATGCATGTATCAGAGATCAGGTTATATCCCAAGTATCCGTATGTTTGAAAAGTTCAGCAATAATAATGAGGGAATGTCAGAGTAATTATAAAAGGGAGAGCTTCTTCACAATCTTTCTCTCTTCCCCCAATTCCCAACCCCTCAGTTCTGTCCTCTCCTCTCCTTCCATCAACAGATGGCTCAGGCAGTGGTGCTATAAGGCGGGCTTTGGGATGTATGGCCACTGGGAGGCATTTATGGACAGAGGACAGTTCTCTCGGGATGGACTTTACCTGAGTAGGGAGGGAAATAGATTTCTAGGATGGAGGCTGGCACAACTGATTAAGAGAGCTTTAAACTAGGAATCTGGGGGAGATGGTTGGGAGATGTCCAGGTAATCTCCACGCTGGATTTTAACATCGAGAGGGAAGAAAACAAAGTAAGAAAGGATACGGCCGTGGGTAGGAGAATGGACATAAGGAGGAAGGGTAGTGTAGATACCAGTCTAATAGGTGATACTGGTGGTAGAATGTCTGTGCCTAATCGGGTAAAGAATGTGAGCGAAGCCAAACAGCAAAAATTAAGGTGTTTGTACACCAGTGCGAGGAGCCTAGGTAACAAAATGGAGGAACTAGAGCTACTGGTGCAGGAAGTAAAACCAGAAATTATAGGGATAACAGAAACGTGGTGGAATATTAGTCGTGACTGGAGTATGGGTATTGAAGGGTATGTGCTCTTTAGGAAAGACAGAAATAAAGGTAAAGGTGGTGGAGTAGCATTGTATATCGATGATGAGGTAGACTGTAAAGGAATAAGAAGCGATGGAATGGATAAGACAGAGTAAAAAATCACACTGGGGAAGAAAGCTACTAGAGCCTCCCCTGGGATAGTGCTTGGGGTGTGCTATAGACCGCCGGGATCTAATTTGGATATGGATAGAAACCTCTTTAATGTTTTTAATGAAGTAAATACTAATGGGAATTGTGTGATCATGAGAGATTTTAACTTCCCAGATATAGACTGGAGGACAAGTGCTAGTAGTAATAATAGGGCTCAGATTTTCCTGAATGCAATAGCTGATGGATTCCTTCACCAAGTAGTTGCTGAACCAACGAGAGGGGATGCCATTTTAGATTTGGTTTTGGTGAGTAGTGAGGATTTCATAGAAGAAATGGTTGTAGGGGACAATCTTGGTTCAAGCGATCATGAGCTAATTCAGTTCAAACTAAATGGAAGGATAAACAAAAATAGATCTGTGACTATGGGTTTTGATTTCAAAAGGGCTAACCTTAAAAAATTAAGGAAATTAGTTAGGGAAGTGGATTGGACTGAAGAACTTGTTGATCTAAAGGTGGAGGAGGCCTGGAATTACTTCCAGTCAAGGTTACAGAAACTATCAGAAGCCTGCATCCCAAGAAAGGGGAAAAAACTCATAGGCAGGAGTTGTAGACCTAGCTGCATGAGCAAGCATCTCAGAGAGGTGGTTAAGAAAAAGCAGAAAGCCTACAAGGAGTGGAAGATGGGAGGGATCAGCAAGGAAAGCTACCTTATTGAAGTCAGAACATGTAGGGATAAAGTGAGAAAGCCAAAAGCCATGTAGAGTTGGACTTTGCAAAGGGAATTAAAACCAATAGTAAAAGGTTCTATAGCCATATAAATAAGAAGAAAACAAAGAAAGAAGAAGTGGGCCTGCTAAACACTGAGGATGGAGTAGAGATTAAGGATAATTTAGGCATGGCCCAATATCTAAAAAAATACTTTGCCTCAGTCTTTAATTAGGCTAATGAGGAGCTTAGGGATAATGGTAGGATGACCAATAGGAATGAGGATATTGAGGTAGATATTACTACATCCGAGGTAGAAGCCAAACTCGAACAGCTTAATGGGACTAAATCGGGGGGCCCAGATAATCTTCGTCCAAGACTATTCAAGGAACTGGCACATGAAATTGGAAGCCCATTAGCAAGAATTTTCAATGAATCTTTCAACTCAGGGGTTGTACCGTATGACTGGAGAATTGCTAACATAGTTCCTATTTTTAAGAAAGGGGAAAAAAGTGATCCGGGTAACCACAGGCCTGTAAGTTTGACATCTGTAGTATGTAAGGTCTTGGAAAAAATTTTGAAGAAGAAAGTAGTTAAGGAAATTGAGGTCAATGGTAACTGGGACAAAATACAACATGGTTTTACAGAAGATAGATCGTGCCGAACCAACCTGATCTCTTTCTTTGAGAAGATAACAGATTTTTTAGACAAAGGAAATGCAGTGGATCTAATTTACCTCAATTTCAGTAAGGCATTTGATATGGTTGCACATGGGGAATTATTAGCTAAATTGGAAAAGATGGGGATCAATATGAAAATTGAAAGGTGGATAAGGAACTGGTTAAAGGGGAGACTACAAAGGGTCATACTTAAAGGTGAACTGTCAAGCTGGAAGGAGGTTACTAGTGGAGTTCCTCAGGGATCGGTTTTGGGACCAATCTTATTTAGTCTTTTTATTACTGACCTCGGCACAAAAAGTGGGAATGTTCTAATAAAGTTTGCAGATGATACAAAGCTGGGAAGTACTGCCAATACAGAGAGAGACCGGGATATCATACAGGAAGATCTGGGTGACCTTGTAAACTGGAGTAATAGTAATAGGATGAAATTTAATAGTGAAAAGTGCAAGGTCATGGATTTAGGGATTAATAACAAGAATTTTTATTATAAACTGGGGATGCATCACTTGGAAGTAACAGAGGAGGAGAAGTACCTTGGAGTAACTATGAGCCGCCAATGTGATATGGCTGTGAAAAAAGCTAATGCGGTCTTGGGATGCATCAGGCGAGGTATTTCCAGTGGAGATAAGGAGGTGTTAGTACCATTATACAAGGCACTGGTGAGACCTCATCTGGAATACTGGGTGCAGTTCTGGTCTCTCATGTTTAAGAAGGATGAATTCAAACTGGAACAGATACAGAGAAGGGCTACTAGGATGATCTGAGGAATGGAAAACCTGTG